GCCGCCATGTACCCCAATATCATGTTGTCAAATCGTCTACAGCCAGATTCGATGGTTGACGAGTCTGTGTGTGCGGTGTGCGACTATAATCGCCCGGGTAAGACGTGCGATCGGAGGCTGGAATGGGCTTGGAGGGGCGAATTCTTCCCAGCGCACCGGGACGAGTATAACATGATTCGGCACGCGCTGAACCAGGAGAGCTTTCCATCAAAGAAGCCTGGGGGACCGCAAAGGAAGTTCGTGGACTTGACGGAAACAGAGCAAACAGCGCTGCTGCACAAGCGGCTTGGAGATTACTCTCGCAAAGTTTACAAGAAGATCAAGGACACGAAGGTCGAGACACGTGAGTCGATCGTATGTCAGCGGGAAAACCCGTTCTACGTCGACACCGTGCGCCGTTTCCGTGATCGGCGGTACGAATACAAGGGACTCCATAAAACGTGGAAAAAGAACCTTGAGACCGTGACCAGCGAGGGCCGCTCCCTTGCGGAGGTGGACGAAGCAAAAAAGATGATCGTGATCTATGACTCCTTGCAACTTGCACACAAGTGCATTCTCAACTCGTTCTACGGATATGTGATGCGCAAAGGTGCACGTTGGCACTCGATGGAGATGGCGGGGATCACATGCCTGACGGGAGCAACCATCATTCAAATGGCTCGTGCGTTGGTGGAACAAATCGGGCGTCCCCTTGAACTCGATACGGACGGGATCTGGTGCATGCTCCCAGGAGTGTTCCCGGAGAACTTCAAGTTCCAGCTGAATAATGGCAAAGCCATAGGCTTCTCGTATCCTTGTACGATGCTCAACCACCTCGTCCACGCGCAGTTCACGAATCACCAGTACCACGACCTCGACTTGGAAACTGGGGAATACGTTGTACACTCTGAGAATTCTATCTTCTTCGAGTTGGACGGGCCATACCGCGCGATGATTCTCCCCTCGTCAAAAGAGGAAGACAAGCTACTCAAGAAACGTTATGCAGTGTTCAACGACGACGGTTCCCTCGCAGAGCTCAAAGGATTCGAAGTCAAGCGGCGTGGAGAGCTCCAGCTCATCAAAATCTTCCAATCCCAGATTTTTGAGAAGTTCCTGCTCGGCACCACCACTGAAGAATGCTATGGCGCTGTCGCAAGCGTCGCTAACCAGTGGCTCGACATCCTCTTCTCTCACGCCGAGACACTAACCGACGAGGAACTTGTCGAGCTCATTGCCGAGAATAGAAGCATGTCCAAGACGCTTGCTGAGTATGGTGGCCAAAAGTCTACTTCGATCAGCACCGCTCGGAGACTTGCCGAGTTCCTCGGCGACCAAATGGTGAAAGACAAAGGTCTCGCATGCAAGTTCATTATCTCTGCCAAGCCTAACGGTGCTCCCGTCACCGAGCGCGCTGTTCCCATTGCTATCTTCTCCGCTGAAGAGTCTGTCAAGCGAACTTACCTCCGAAAATGGCTCAAGGATCCTGGGCTCACGGCATTTGACCTTCGTGGGATATTGGACTGGGAGTACTACATTGAGCGGTTGGGTTCTGTGATCCAGAAATTGATCACTATTCCTGCTGCTATGCAGGGGGTGTCGAATCCAGTATCGAGGATAAGGCATCCTGACTGGCTGCATCGCAGGGTCGCAGTGGCTGTGGACAAGTTCAAGCAGAACAAGGTTACGGACTTCTTTTCCAGGGCTCCGCGGAAGACACAGGAGGATGGAGAGGAAGATATGGAGGACTTTGGAACACAGAAGAAGCCCGACCAGGGACGGTTTGCCATTGTGAGCCGTAAGGCTTCGCGGAGTCCCGAGCCGGACGAAGACGACGAACCGGACAATGGTCCCCTTCCCAACCCCGACTTGAATTATTCCGCGTGGCTCAGAGCTATCAGGCCTCGTTGGCGGAAGAGACGGGAAGCTCGCTGGGGTGGTGACACGTCCGCTATCGTCCCTACCATGTTCAAAAGCGCACGAGTGCGAACAACGCAGCGCTGGGATGTGGTGCAGATCCGACCAAACAAGATTTTGGGTCGCTTCACGTTATGGGTTTCTATTGATGGAGAACCCACGCCTGTTCCCCTCCGTATCCCAAGGCAGTTCTACCTCCATTTCAAGAATCCACCCAAAGACGATTTGTTCCGCACGGAGTACTATCAGTGCGAGAAGGTAGTGAGGCATCTACCGAGAGACATTCCCTGCAGAGAGTTGTACAGGTTGGTGGTAAAGGAGGACGTGTACCAGCAGATCCAGGAACATTTTACAGACTTGATGAACGATCCGAATGTTGATGGTGTATTCGAGCGGCAGGTACGTCTTGGTATTGACGTCAGACGTCTCTTGTTAAACCCCACGCTAGGTTCCGCTAGAAATGCGTGCTTTACTGAAGCTAGGCAAGACATGTACCGTGGATGAACCGGGCTTGACCCTCAATCGGGCCCAGATGAGCGGAGTCGATCTGAGCCAGCTCGATCGCGCCAGTCCCTCTCTCTCTCGGCAATCATACCTCAATGCCGGACGTGGGGCCAAATATCTGTTCCTCTACCATGCTTGCTCGCACACTGCTCCGATCCACGTATTCGCACTCTTCCTTCCTAGTGGAGCTGTTAAGCTGCACTTGGTCGACCCAGCGACGCGCCGCCAAGGGATACCGCGTTTGCAAGAGTTGTACGCTGATCTTTCGAAGAAACGGCAAGATCTCTGTGGGGATGCGGCTTCGATCCAGTACCCTACTTCTTGCGACTTCACGACCACATACCACAACAAGGATACCACAGCACTCAAGGCAATTTCCCGGGAGCTCGGACTCCTAGAACATATGTCGTATATGGTTATCATCTCCTCGTCGAAGCAGCAGGTCTACTTCGACACATGGGTTCCCAAGCTAGCGAAATTTCCAGTCCTGTCTATGTCGAAAGCAAAAGTTCCCCATTCCCTCGACGTCTTTCCGTGGCAAACACACGTCGCTCAAAAGATGCTGCAGCGCTACCTCTCGCTCGGTCTCTGGCTCGACCGTTTGATTGCCCTTGCAGACTATTATGACGTTCCTATCGGGCATATCGACGGCGACCAGCCTCTGCTTTTGTCTGACATCAGCTTCGCACGGCGGCTGATGCAGCAGGACATTATCCTCTGGTGGTCACCCGCTGAACGTCCAGATCTGGGCGGCAGAGAGGCGGATAACCGGCCTGTGGAAGAACTGCAGAACACGGAGTTTATGACCCCTGGATGTTATTCCAACGTGTGCTTGGAGGTCACAGTGCGCAACCTAGCCGTCAATTCCGTTCTGCACTCAGTGGTGGTCAACGAACTTGAAGGGAGCGGCGGCACGACGGCCTTTGACTCTGTATCCCGCACGTTGAACGAGTACTCTGGAGGCGAAGCGCCACGCGATCTTACGCTTGGGGAGTCCAATGTTTCTACTTTGACATTCGGCATCTTGAAGTCGATGATCAAGGCTTGGTTGCTGGATAAAATCAAGGGTAATTTCGAGAGTCCTGCAACCTTGGCTATCGATCACTTCTGGCGTTGGATCAGTACGAGCGCTTCCTACCTACACGATCCCAGTATACACCGTTTTGTCCATGGACTGATGCGGAAAACATTCATACAGATGCTTGCCGAATTCAAACGGCTTGGCTCTCTGGTCATCTATGCCGATTTTAGCCGGATCTTACTTGCAACTTCGAAACCACCTGGAACAGCGCACGCCTATGCGACGTATATCACCACAGCAGTCACGTCCCACGAATTATTTCAACACATTTATCTGAACACGGAACGTTTTTATGACTTCTTGTTGTTCATGGACTCGGCGAACCTGGGGGGTGTGGTTTGTGAGAACCCTTTATCCGTCGACCCTCCAAACGAGCTCACTATCGAGATGCGCTGGAACATCCATACTTTCCTCCCACCTGCCGTCCAGGACGACTTTAGCTCCGTCGTCCAATACTTCATTGTCGAGCTTTACAAAATCAGACAGAAGTCGAACGAAACTTCACGGGCTCCTCTTCGAGTGTTGCAGAACCTTGCACCGGACGTCACGCAGCGGAATGCCGGAAAAGTGAACGAGACGGAAGCCACTCGCGAATTCATTGGCAGGAAACTGACCCGAAAACTTCTGAGAGTTGTAGGTTCTGCTCAGTCCAAGCATAGAGACTCGGCGAACGACGAGGAACTCCACAATCAATTCATATTCCCAATCCATCCTGGCTCTTATCTCACCCTCACGAACCCCGTGCTCGAGTTCGTCAAGTTTATCTGCGCGGTATTTGGCCTTGCCCAAGACTACCAAGTAGAAATCGGCCTCTTGAAACGCAACCTGCTAGATTTGGCCGGTGTTCGTGAATTCGCCAACGAAGCAGTGTTCCGAAACCCCTGCGAAACGCTCAAGTTATCTAATGTTCCTTGTAAACTTTGTGATGCACTCCGGGACTTTGACTTTTGTCGGGACCCGGAGCTCATGTCGAATGGTTTGGGCGTTGGACCGCCAAGGTGGACGTGTGGGGGATGCGGAGGTGAATACGATCGGGCTTCGATCGAGATGGAGCTCGTCCGGACGGTGGGTGCGATAGAGAGGGCGTTTGTGCAACAAGACCTTCGGTGCATGAAATGCAAACAAGTCCGCTCAGATAACGTCTCGCGATACTGTCAATGCTCGGGGTCGTACCAGTTGACAGTGGGCAAGGTGGAGATCAGGAGAAAGTTGAGAACGGTCTTGAACGTCGCAATCGTGCACAACTTGGCGAGACTCAAGGTCAGTTTCCAACTAAATTCGGCGTTGAAACCGAGATTAAACGCTTTTTTCCCGACTTGCATAGGAGTGCGCGCAGGTCACGTTGGAGAATTGGTGAAGCTTGGAAGTGTCATCATTCAGACTGGAAATAATACCCCGCTGTCGTGTTGTCCTGGTTCAATTAGATCGTGTGTTGTATTACTTGTTTTTTTTTCTCCCATGGCCAACAATATTACGACTCACTAGTTTGCCTCATCGGTCGCGTTCGACCTCCCGACATCAATCTCTGGTAGTATATCGGATAGTACATCCGCCTGTCATGCATATGGTTCGCGGAAGAGCGGGGTTCGACTCCCCGCCAGAGAGGACTTTTTGTTATGTTTTATCAAAGATATTACGTTGGCAGCCCCAAAAAGGCATGTTTACATTGCGCTGCCAGAGCATCAGACATGTGCCATGATGGTGGTTCATACACTTCCTAGTACTAGTAGTAGACGGTTCCACAAGCCAGACAAGTGACCAAGTCCACACACCCCTTCCACCGTTCATCCTGTACTAGTCCCACTGCTTCTAGATCTTCTGTCGTTGTAATTTGTGCCTCCTTACGCTGCACCACCCAAACCCTCGAAGAGACTACACCGTTTGATATCAGTTACGCGCCCCATGAACTTCTTCAAGACCAAACCACGAACGCCGCCTGACCTCGTACGTGGTCTTCGGGATGCTATTCCAAAGCTAGAATCTGGTACACCAGGAAGCGAGACGAGGAGAAAGGTAAGCCTAATAATCCGTCGACACATCCCTGTCATGTGATTCTACCCGATCGCATCGTCCAGGCGAGCGAGGAAGTGTCGAGGAATATCCAAGCCATCAAGGGCGTATTATACGGAGACGGAGGTGCGCTGATCTTGGGTCTAGCAAGCAGCTCGTCACGATTCGGTCCTCACGCGCGTTGGGAATAGAACCCGTGCCCGAGCTCATCGCCCAACTCGCACAGGAGACCTATTCGACCGATTTACTCCTCATCGTCGTGCAGAACATCGCACGTCTTGATTTCGAGTCGCGGAAAGATGCAGTCCAGATATTCAGCAACCTCCTGCGGCGCCAGATCGGTGCTCGCTTGCCCACCGTCGAATATATCTGTGCGAAACATGAAGAGGTCATCTTTGCTGCTCTTGCGGGGTATGCAAACGAGGAGATCGCGCTGAACACTGGTATGATCCTGCGAGAGATGCTGAAACATGAGCAGCTGGCCAAGATTCTGCTTTATTCTGAACAGTGCGTCGCGAGACCTCTCTCTTGTCGTTGTGGTCCTAACACACTGGCGGGGTCAGATTTTACATGTTTCCACACCACATAGAGACGACATCTTTTGGCGTATCGTGCGATGCATTTGCTAACTTGAAGGATACGCTGACACGGCACAAAGCTATGGTAGCAGAATACCTCGACAAGAACTACGACAGAGTGCGTGAACCTGACTTGCCGTCGTCTCCCCTAGTCCTGATCTTAGGTGACGACCTAGTTCTTCGCGTCCTTTACCACTCTTATCCTCTCCAACAACTACGTTACCAAGCGCCAATCCCTCAAGCTCCTTGGCGAAATCTTGCTGGATCGTGCAAACTTTAGCGTCATGACGCGCTACATCGCCCAAGAGGCAAATCTCAAGATGATGATGAACATGCTCCGAGACAAGAGTAAGAACATTCAATTCGAAGCTTTCCACGTCTTCAAAGTCAGTGTCCTTGTTTCTCCCATGGTGAAGATCGATGCATTCGACATACATCTTTGGCACAGGTGTTCGTCGCCAACCCGAAGAAACCACCTCAAATCGAAGCAATACTACGAAGAAACAAGGAGAAATTGCTGACGTTCTTGAAGGGCTTCCATAATGATAAAGAGGATGAGCAATTCAGTGTACGTGTGGATGTCTCGAGTTCCCAGTCGAAAACACCTGATCGTTCTCGTGCCCCCACAGGACGAGAAGCAATTCCTGATTGGTCAAATCCTGACTCTGTAGCACATCCCATTTTAGTTCCCCCGCATGCCCACTCCGTGTGGACGATCTTATACCGTCGACGTGTAATGCAGTCACGCAATCAATTAAAGCCCTAGTGGGAACTAAAGCGCCAGCTGGCGCACGTAACAAGTGGTATACTGTGGTATATGTAAGAACGAGAAACCGAGGCGTATGTGTAGACAAATTCCAGAAGCTGTCAAAAAGAAAAATCCACGAAACCAGCGCTGTCACGGAGAGGATGCCATGGTAACTGGGTGGTTTGTCAGCAATCCAATGGCCACCTTCTTGGCTCTGCTGGCGCTCAACGGCGTGGTGCTAATTGGATGGCCAGAGACGGTCGCAATCGTGGTATGAGCTCTCGTTCGGATAAATGAACTATGAGTGGATCAATGTTCCCAAAGAAAAGATCAACGAGGGGTGGTGAGGCTCACGTTCCGGCCCTGATGAGCTCCGAGAGTCTCGCATGCTTCTTTGCCTCCATCATGTACAACCCAGTGCTAGGGATCGCATTCTCGTAGTCATCGCTGCACACTCCTTTAATGACCGGTGGGCCCGGAGTTCTGGACCGAGCAGGACCGAACATGGACTCTGAGGATAGCGTCACTTTTTCGAGAGATGGGTTGGATGACATAACGAGGAGGAGTTCGTTCCAAATGGCCGGGAGCTGTGCGCGGACCAACTGTAGGCGAGGCGACTCACTGAGAGCTTGGGCAAAAGGGAGGGTGACTGGTGCTGCAGACATTCGAAAAGCGATGTGAACAGACTCCTGAAAACAGACGAACCAGGTGAGTTTCAACACACGGACGAGAGGGATGAAGTACTTACAAGGCCCAGCCAGCCATGTATAACTCGTGGCAAACGTCCCAGGACATATTGTGGGCGGGGATGGGTCAGATATGTGTTGGGGTCTTTACGTATTGTAAGATGCACGATCGAGTCCCGCTGCTCCAGAGCGGAGCAGAATGCCTCCGCATCGACATCGCTGGTATTAGCCTCATTGCCAAATGTGACGTGTAAGGGTCGCGGTGAACCACCGAGACCGCTGTCTAGACAGAGGTCGATGCTGTCCACACGCTCACAAGCCGTAAACACGGCGGCGGAGTCACGCCAAATACCACCAAACACAAGCCCTCGCACAGCATTCGCCAACGAGGGGTACTGCGTCAGGGTTTCGAGCACCGCAGTGACCTGTTTGGCTGACTGGAGGTGGAGAGTGTGGTAGAAGAGGGGTGAGGCGATTCGCAGGAATTGACGCGATACTAGTAATGGTGCAAGACGGCCGCGAGGTTGACGAGTGACGACGTCCCACACGGGTCGCGGGGAGTGAGGAGGACGCGGTGCGACGCAGAGTGCCAGTATGCGTGCTAGGAGCTCTTCGGGGAAGGAGGCCAGTGAGTGGATTGGTTGGGACATTCTGATGGATTGGATGGCAGTACGAAAAGGAGACGAGGCTTGGTGATCCGGTTTATATAGAGGAGCTTATGTTGGGTGTACTACGGGTGCTTCCTGAACGGAAATGAGGGAGTAGGGGCAGTGGCGCACGAAAAAGGTTGTTGTTATCCGAGCGAAAGGCTGGTAAAGACCGCCGACGTCTGATTCCAAATCGGGCCAGACAATCGGACCGGTGACCCACCTTAAACTTAATTAACCCCCCCGCCCCCGGCCTCCTCAACGTTTCGACGGCAGCGTGCTGTGACTGCGCCCACAGCTCCTCGTTGCCACAGACCTACAGGCGGGCGGGTCGTCTGTTGTGGCACTACATCCTTCCGCGGAGAGACCGAAGGCTATCATTGATGGCATGGATCAAGCCCCGTGATGCCACCGAGGCTCAAGTATGACCCCTAGAAGTTCTCTGCAAACTCCGTGGTCAATAGTGTACATATGCCATGGCAACAGCCCAACATCGTCTATCATACATGATCATATATTGATGACGAGCCGCGGACCGAGCGACTCCCACCCGCTATTGGTGGTTGGTATGGTGCAGGCCAGCCATCTTCTCCTCAGCTTGGATACAGAAGCCCCCAGCCCGAGGCTCAAGTATGGCCCGAAGCTCTCCTACGCAACCGGAAACACCCCCGCTATATCCACACCTCGCTCTCGTCGTCCGCAAGATACAACACCTGCAAGCAAACAGATGCTGCACGACCGTCGTCCCTTATCCCAAGCCCTCCCCTCGATAACCCGGAGGATAAGCATTGCGCTGATCTACTCTGCAGATGAATCACACTTGAGCGTCAGACTATTAATCGAGGAACGGGAAAACGAAGCACCATCCCCAATATGTATATAGAATAAAACGTTACCGAGCATCCACTCCCTACCCCAAACGAAACCAGGAACCCGAGTCCCGAGATCGTGTAAGGGAGCAGACTCGACGATAACCGATATGACGTTGAAATACCCGGACGCGTGCTTCTTCAATTTCATGGCGTGGTACCCCAGCGATAGCATATAATGCAGGTCACAGCAATGTTCAAAAATACCGAGATTGAAAAATACGGCAGGTCAAGTCTTGAAGTCAGGCCAGAGAAGAGGTCACCCCTGGAGAGCTGGAAACCCAGTCGACCGCCACTCCAAGGGCTGGTGGTTTTAAAACCGAACACGGGTTGAAACTTGAAACAGACGCTCACCTGGCGTGGCCATCCATAAACAGATGGTACGATGATGACGCGATAGCTATTTCACACAGTCCGACAGGGATAGATCTAGACCCAACAAAGTCGGCGATACCAACGACAAACGAACTGAGTCTCACCATGAAGTTGCAGCAACGACAGCAGTCGACCCAAAAGCCATGTACCAATCCGACATATGAATCGCCCAATATTGCCCAGGACCGCCTGGATAGCCTCTATACTCTATCCACATTGTTTCGTTGAATACTGCCTGGGTAGCCAACCAGACCGAGACCAAGAAGAGCATCATGGTGCTGGAGAACGCGTACAAAACGTCAGAATTTTTCCTCCCTTTCCCAGCTGGATCTGCATGGTCTTGAAGTAGACAACAGGCCCGATACCCATATGGACCAGTGAGGTGTATGAATGAAGGTAAAGGCCATTGGACTTACCGTACAAGACATTGGCCAACGCAGGTGTTGATTTGGAAGAATGTGTCATCAGAAATGGCCTCAGAAGACATGTTCGAAGAAGTTCACACATATTATTCAAGTTGATCACCTTTTTATCCCACCCTCTCGGTCCCAACGCCTATCCTTACGTTGCAGATGTGACAGAAGAGTACTCTGCAATGACCGCGGCTAGACTGGATGACCCAGGACATGTACATCAGGATAGCACCTACCATGTAGAGTCTCCCGCCTGGACGAGCCGAAGAAAAAATCAAG